GCGGGGATGCAGCTCCGCAGAAGCCAAAGGAGGGAGGAAGCTGGTTTTTCTCCCTCCCTTTGAAGCTCCCCAGGCTGGCGAGCCCCCGGGCTGAGCTTGAGGGCGGCAGCAAGCAAGGACCGGGTGCCAGCACTGCATTCACCTCTTCGCTGCATCAGGCTGGCGTAAGGCTCCCCCCACTGTCGGCAAATCCGACTGTGCTGGGGAAAAAGGCTGAAGGCTCCCGTCCCCACAGTCCTGCCCTGTCTGCCTGGCAGCGCCGCCTGCCAGCTCGCCCACTCCCCTTTCCCAGCCTGGTAGGTGGCAGGGAGCGGTTTGGGGGTCCCCAAAACTCTGAGGGAGTCACCCCGTGAGAGGTGAATCCCCAGAGATGGGGGCCACCTCCAAGCTACTGTAAATCACCCGCTCTGGCACGGGGAGCGTGACCTGCATCAACAGCTGGCGGTGGTGCCGGCGTGACTGTTGGCATCACCCACGGACAGGACAGATGCCTGTTCATCGCCCAAGGGCGAGGAGACGTGCTGGGTGGGAGCTGGAGCAGGACCACAGCTCACCGGAGTGGGAGCTGCTCTCCACCGGTGCCCAGTGGGAAGAGGCCAGTGGGCAGGGACATGGCACCGTGCGAGGGCAAGTTGGGGGCGGCTGCATCCAGCACTGCTCGGCACAGCCTTGGAAAGCTGCGGGCTCGCTAGCACCGAGCTGAACCCCTGCCTGCCAAAAAGACCTTCCCCATACAGAGCCCTCTGCAATGGGGAACGGGGCCACTTGGAAGCCACCGCAGCTTGGTCCAAGCCAAGATCCCTCCCTGAAACACGGGGCTCCCGTAAGTGCAGCTCCCCCGAGCGCTGGGCAGGGCTGTGAGCCAACCCTTTCCCAATTCCCCGAGGGCGAGAGCTTTGCTGGGACATCGCTCTCCAACCCAGCTAGCCCACGCCCAACCCCGGTGAACCGCCCCGGCCCCCTGTATTTCCCCGCCCGACTGCACCGCTTGGGGGGGTGGGAGGCTGCCGGGGTGTCCCCACGGGTGGGCTACGGCCAGGGTGGGCTGGGACAGCACCCGCGCACTCACCTGGGTTCGGATCTGCTGCTCGCGCTCTAGCTTCTCCTGGTGCAGCAACCTCACCTGCTCCTGCTGCTGCTGGAGCTGCACTTGCTGAGCGATCACCTTCAGCTTCTCGGGGTACATGTGGGCCTCCAGGGAGCGAACCTGCCGGCAGAGAGAGACCTGATGTCGGTGGGGAGCCCGGCCT